TTTTTTTTTTTTTTTTTGCATGATGAAGCAGATCCAGGCCCTTCTTCTTCAGTTGATCCCTGCAAGCAGAGATGTTTATCTCTAACAGAGAAGGACTTCCTTCCTTCCTTTTTCTTTTCTTTTTTTAACAAATAGCAACCACGATTGTAATCATACATGAAACTTACACGTTACTTAATGTTAATACTCATCCTACAGTCACCTGTCCCTGGATGGCTCTAAATCATCCTTTTATGGTCAGGTGACACACAGCAGGATCCTGACCGGCGCCAGCCCTTACTCGTAGGAGCTACGCTTCTTGTGTCTACGACAGCCATTCCCTGCTCTACTTACACCATTTGGTTCCTGAAGCCGCCAGGCTGTCTGACTTAGCCAACTCCCATGTTCTGGACTTGGCTGGTTGCCTCCCCGTGGTGCCATTTACCACTTTCCTCTGTTCTGCAAAGATGTCACTGTAGCCTGGGATCCTAGGACCCTGCCTGGGCCCGGGAGGTGCCTCGTTGGTGCAGAATAAATGGCAGAGGGAACATTCAGAAGGTACCTTACAACTGTCAGAGGTCTTCTGCCCACATGGTCCTCATGCTAGCCCCATGACGCAGGCAGGTCCACACTTTTTTTAAAAGATTTATTTATTTACCTGAGAGAGAGAGAGAGAGAGAGAGAGAGAGAGAGAGAGCTGGGGAAGGGGCAGAGGGAGAGCACATCCAAGCAGACTCCGGCTGAGCGGGGAGCCTGACATGGGGTTCGATCTCACGAGCCATGAAATCAGGACCTGAGCCGAATCCAAGAGCCAGATGCTTAACCAACGGAGCTACCCAGGTGCCCCCAGGTCCACATTTTGAGAGCTTCTCAGTCCTACTGCTGGGATGGGTCACTGAGACGGGACACTCCAGACGCTAAGATCCTTCACCGGCCTCCCTGCCCTGTCTCCCACATCAAGTTGCGAGGGGTCACGAATAGGGACGCTCAGGTGGACTGCGGGTCTCCGAGTCCTCATCGGAGGAGGCCTCCCTGAGCAGGAGTTGCCAGGGACAACTGGGCAGCCCCTGCCGATGGCCCTCCAGAAGGGGAGCTAGGTCTGAACTCGGGGAGGGAACCTGGGGCTCGTGCCAGCCAGGGAGGCAAGTGGGTAGGGGTCCCATGATGGGCTGTGGGGCTACAACTCTAGTGAAGGAGTGTTTGTGTTGACACCCCCTCTTTCACGTTGTTTGCTCCAGTGTCTTTTTACCGGATTTTAAGAACCCATCATGGCAGCTTCCTACCTTAAGAAAACCCAACAACCAAAAAGAAAAAGAAAAAGAAAAAGAAAAAAAAAAACCCCAAACACCACCACTTTTGGAGAATATGCTCAGAGGGAACGTCTGCTTGCACCCCAGTGATGCTTCTGACCCAGACCTTGCCTGAGGGATGACATAGACACCAGGTGAGGCCCCCCCATGCTCCACAGGACCCTTGTCTCCTTTTAAGACGGTCGAGAGGAATTTTTGTTTTCCGGGGCCCGGGGAAAATCATGCAAAGCAACTACTCAAATCAGGCAACCCCAGGAAGAGCCACCCCCTTCCACCTGCCCCATCTCCCTGGCCAATATTTGCCTCTTTCCTTTCCCGTCAAGGGCACCATGGCCAAGGAGACCAGACTTGAGGGCCCCAAGTCTCTCCCGGTCTGGCCCCTTGGTCCTCTTGAGCAGCTCAGTGACGTAAAGGCATCTCCCCACCGGTCCCTCCAGCTGGGTCAGGCGTCTGTGCAGAGCCTAGGGCTGAGACTAAGGTCTTCTCCTCCAGCCACTCCCAACTTGGCTTTTCTTTTTCCTCTTGTCTCTTCTCACACTCTTTTTCCTTGTGTCTACCTATCCATTTCCTCCTGTCTGACAGTTCTCAAGATGTCCTCATTTCCTGGGGTGGTGGGGGGAGGCCCCCAAGGAGATACGGCTGCTCCTTTCTTTGTCTGTACATATTAATGCACCAGCCGGGCCAGGTCCTGCCTGGGCAATTGGGAGCTCTCTCCGCAATGGGAATTTTACGATGTGGGGTGGGAGCTGCCGGGTGGGGCCCTGAATCCTGTGGGAGTGGAGCCTTCCCAGGGAGGAAGATGAACATCTTCGGGGGGGGGTGGATCAGCAGCATCAGGACCCGCCAAGACCTGCCATCCTCCTCTGGAGGCCCAGTCCCCAGGAGGAGCCACACTGGGGCTGGGGGACCAGACCTGGGGCAGGGGCCTGGTCAGAGGCCAGAAGCCACCTGCTCCTTGGGTGCGGCTGCCATCTAGTGGCGAGTGTGAGGTAGTGTTGCCGTCTGAAGTTCACTTCCGTTCGCCCCTTGGCACTCCTTGGCCAGGCGCAATTTGTCTGTGGCCTTCAATTAACACCGGACCTGAGCCTGGAGAAGTCGACCTCACCACGTTTGCTGCTAAAGTCGATCTCACAGAAATAGTCACCACACGTGAAACCTGCCAGAGGGTTAAGGCTTGCTAGTTTCTGAATAATTTAAAAGATTCACGTGTTCGTCGCTTCGCCAAGTGTCTCTTATGTGCCAGGCACATTTCAGGCCAGACACTGTAAATAAAGAGATGACCTCGGCAAACGGTGCAATGTATGTGGCGAAAGACAGGCGACTCAGCCAACGATTCCAATCCAGTTGGAGAAACTCTTGGCTGCAGAAAAGACTGTGCTATGCTTTGAGAATACCAAGGGAGATCGTCTTAAAACAGATTGGCCCGGTAATGTATGGTGATTAACATAACATAATAAAAAAATAATAAAATGTCTATGAAAAAAATTAAAAAAAAAATTGAGTTCAAAACAGATTGGCCTGGAGTGGTAACTGAGATGCAGGGAGAGGCTTCTCGAAGAAGATGATGCCCAAGACGAGTCTTGAAGGACACACAGGAGTCAGAAAAAAAAACAACGGAGGGGATGTAGGTTTTGGCAGAGAAGGTAGGGCGGGGGGCGGCGGCGGGCGGTGCAGACGTAGGTGGAGAAGGTGGAGGTGTAGAGGATCCTGATCCAGGAGGCGGAGTTGGTGATGGTGGCATTGATCAGGAGCCAGAGGGAACAGACCATGGGAAAGCGTCAACATTTCAGCTCCTTCTTTTATGAATTCCCCAGCGCTCAGGCATGAACACAAGGAATCCAATAGAAATTTTGTAGTAGGTTATCTAACCAAGTATTCCATTTGTAATACCAGTATTGTGGAATTTTGGAACTGGGAAGGATCCCAGAGAAATTATGTCTAATACGTTTAAGCAATTCTTCTGTTAATATTTATACCGTGTCCCGGTTTCTCTTGCTAAAATAGTGGTACCTTCCTGTGCCTTGGGTGATTGTGATGGGAACCTGATTGAGTCTGTCGGGGACGTGTATAACAGCCTGCCCAACGGTCTCCCTGTCTTAGCTGGCTCCCTTTTCTGACCTCATCAGCACAGGAAGAATCAGATGCTTGTTCCTTTATTTCCTCCCTCCCTCCCTCCCTCCCTCCTTTCCTTCCTTCCTTCCTTCCTTCTTCCTTCCTTCCTTCCTTCCTTCCTTCCTTCCTTCCTTCCTTCCTTCCTTCCTTCCTTCCTTCCTTCCTTCCTTCTTTCCTTTTAAATTCAACAAACAGCTGTGCCTAGCTGCTATGTGCCAGGCTGGGCATATTGGTGACTCAAAGATGCATAAGATTCAGGCCCCGCCCTCAGGGATCCTGGCAGTCTACTGGGGGAGACAGACAGGTAAATAGGTGTAGACAACTGTCAACAGATAACCCGTACCTAGGCAACAAGGAGGATCTGGTCCATGCCCTCCTCTTTCAGGAGTCCCCTCGCTCTTGGATATTTGGAGAGAGGGGCTCCTGAGTCGGCTGGTCCTCTGTGTGCCTTCACCCTTGGCTGCTGTCTGGTTGTGTCTACCTTTGTCCCGGTCCATCTGAGGCCTCTCCGTGCTGCCGGCCACCCCCGAAGCTCCACCACCACAGGGCATGTGCATGTTACAGATCCCTACTCCAAATTCGAGAGAGAGCACAGGATTTCCAGGCAGGGAACCACTTAATTATTTTTTTCTGACCCAGAACACTTTCCTCGAGCACTGCTGGGCTGACATAGAAGGTTAAACCCTTCCCAGGGATACCTGCATTACAGGATTATACGATAAGATTGACTCTTTTCTTCTGACGTACAGGTTTATGACTTTGAACACCTGTATAGATTTGTGTAAGCACCACCGTAATCAGGACGAAGGACCCAAGGCGTTCCCTCAAGCTATCCCTTCCTAGCTCCTCTCTCTCGTCTGGCAATCCTTGATGCGATTCTCGTCTCTGCAGTTTTGCCTTTCCAGCAATGGCATATAAATGGAACTGTGCACTGTGCAAACTTCTGAGACTGGCTTCTTTCATTCAGCATCGTGACTTCAGGATTCATCTGAGCTGTTGCTTTTACCACTTTGTCCCTGTTAGTGCTAAGTAGCATCACTTTGGATCGATATATTGGTTTGTTTACCCATCCACCTGCTGAAGGACATCTGAGTTGTTTCCCGTGTTTGACAGTTTCTACTAGAGCTGCTAGAAACACTCGTTTCTAGTTTTTTTCGTTAACGTAAGTTTTCCTTTCTCCAGGAGTGGGCCTTCTGAGTCATAGGGTAAATGCATAATTAACTTTATAAATGCTAGGCTCTTTTCCAGGGCAGTCACACCATTGGGATTCCCACCAGCAATGTATGGGAGTTCCCATTGCTCTGCATGCTTATCAGCCTTGGTATTATCAGGGTTTTTTTTTTTTTCTTTTCTTTTAGCCAATCAAACGGATATCTAGCATTATCTCATCTCTATTCTACATCCCCTCCTGACAAATGATGTTGAAGGTCTTTTCATATGCTTATTTGTCATCCTATGCCCTCACTGGTGAAGTGTCTGCTGATGTCTTTTGCCCATTTTTAAACTGGATCATCTGGCTTCCCGTTGTTGAGTTTTGAGATTTCTTAACACATTCTGGATTCAAGTCTTTTGTTAGGGGATATGTGATTTTGCAAATATTTTCTTCCCGAGACCAGGACCCTGCACCCCACTGCCTGGCCTAAGGCCCATATTGATGAAGACCTCAGCTGTATTTGGGAGGAAATACAGGAATTCTTTCTTCTCCTCTCAAGGAAGTGTTTGTGCTTAAGTCATGGACAGTGGCTTTCCATGATTTTCCAATGCCTACCAGCTAATATGCACCTTCTTTGGCAGAGCACGGAGGGCCGTCTGTGTCCTGCACCTAATCCACTGGTGTGGTTTTGGATCTCAGTCCACTCATATAAGCCAAAACTATCACCATCCTCTTATTTGTTTTTAAAAAACAACGTGACTTCTCTCTTGAGCCACCATTGTGCTTGAGTGACAGAAACTTACTATCAGTTAATCCAGTTTTCCTTTCCACTTTTTTGGGGGGCTGTTCTGAGTCTGAGGGATGCCAGAGCCTGGAGAAGGGGCATCTGATCTTCAAGTCATCCATAGATGCTGCTTCTAAGCAGGTCACTGCTAAGCCTCTTCTGGTTTTACCTTGATGGCCTTGTTGGATTTGAAGATCTCACCTCTACTTCTCCTCTACTCTTGGGTCCTCAGAAATCCTTTTGGTTCCACACTGCTTGAGGGTGGGGGCAAAAAATTGCCCAGCAGCCCTCCAAGGTGCTATTTCTCTGGATTAATGAATGGCCATCTCTCATTAGCATCTGGTCTCCTCCCTGCCCATTTTCTGGAGCTCCATGTGGAGGACGGACTTCAGGCTCCCCTGCCGTATTTCCTCCCAAATATAGCTGAGGTCTTCATCAATATGGGCCTCAGGCCAGGCAGTGGGGTGCAGGGTCCCTGTCTCTGGAAATCATCATGTCTATGTTTTCTTCCTTTATCTCCTGTTGTAGACTGAATTGCGTCTCCCTGCCCCCCAACCCCAAGTTCATAGTTGAACCCCTAACCTCCAGTATGATTGTATTGGAGATAGGGCCTTTAAGGAGGGTTAAATGTGGTCATAAGGGTGGGACCCCAACTCAATAGGGCTGGTGTCCTTATAAGAAGAGGAAGAGACACCAGAAGCACATGCACACAGGGGAAAGACCATGCGAGGATGCAGAGAGAAGACCGCCATCTGCAAGTCAAGGAGAGAGGCTTCCAGAAGCAACCATTCCTACCAGCACCTTGATCTTGGACTTCCATCCTTCAGAGCTGTGGGAAAGTAAATTTCTGTTGTTTAAGCCCCCCAGTTATGGTACTTTGTTATGGTAGCCTGAGCAGACTAATGCACCTCTGCCTCTCAATTCAGGGAATCCTTTTCCATGGTTGGGTGTGGGATGATGGGGTAGTGCACATGGTCGGGGGTGGTGGAGAAGCCTTTCTCATCTCAAGGCCTTTTTCTTGACTGTCCCACTTGTGTGGCATGCCCTTTTATTCTTGTCCGTACACCAGTCCATCCTGGCTTTTCGGTAGGCAGGACCCAAGAACATCAGCCAAGGTAGACTCTAGCCGAGAACAACAGTGAATACACCACATGGAATGGGTCACATCAGCATAGGGGACTATTCCAGTGACTCTTGATCCCTGTTACTCTGAGATTAACACAGCATTATATTTGCAAAGGGAACAGTGTTAAGCTCTTTGAAAAAAGTTGTGGACCAGGACCTTAGCCATGGAAAGGTCTTAGACTTCAGTGAGTCTCCAAAGCACCATGGGTGTGAGGGCCAGTCAAGGAGCACAGAAGGAGCTTGGCCTGGGAAGAAGTGACACTCGGTGTCAGGCAGAGCCCACAGCCTTGCGGAAAGGTGGAGTGGGTTGCAGATCATACTGGCCTCAAGCAATTTACCTGTGGACTTCTTGTATGGGATTATCCGTGTCCTTATTGTTTAATCCACTCAAAAGGGCATTTCTGTAATTTTCAGTGGAAAGAAATGTGCTCAGCCTGTCCCGGAGTCCTGCAGGGCAGTGGCAGGAGCGGGCTTCACTGAGCCACCAAACAACGCCACCACCAAAATATTCTATTAACTCATTCCCTCAGGACGATGATATT